TAGACACTTTGAATAGTTTTTCTGATCTGTTATATACTCACCAGACGCTTTATTAGGTAGACCTATTAGATTGTTTGGTAACACAAATTGCTAATCAGCCAATCACATGACAGCAACTCAATGCATTTAAGGCAACTATACATGGTGAAGATGACTTGTTGAAGTTCAAAATGGGTATCAGAATGGGGGAGAAAGGGGATTTAAGTTACTTTGAACATGGCATGGTTGTTGGTGCCAGATGGTCTGGTCTGAGCATTTCAAAAACTGCTGATCTACTGGGATTTTCATGCACAACTATCTCTAGGGTTTACACAGAATGGTCCAAAAAAGAGAAAATATCTCTTGAGAGGCAGTTGTGTGGACAAAAATGCCTTGTTGATGTCAGAGGTCAGAGGAGAATGGGCAAACTGTTTCGAGATGATAGAAAGGCAACAGTAACTCATGCCAATATGTACCAAAATCTCTGAGGAAGGTTTCCAACACCTTGTTGAATCTATGCCACAAAGAATTAAGGCAGTTCAGAAAAAAGGGGGTCCAACCCGGTACTAGCAAGGTGTACCAAATAAAGTGGCCAGTGAGTGTATTTCTGATGTTCAGAGAGCACAGAATTCTAAACATTTGTGTCGCTATAGCCATTGTATATGTCATATCAAGATTCACATTGTATCATGTTGCATTATTAGGGTTATACTTGCAGAACCCTGTTGGTGGGACGTACAATTCCTGGGTGTTTCCTGCAGGCGTCGAACAAGCTGGGGGAATCGCCATTCCTCATACTGTCATCTCTGATTTCGTCGCTGGTGAAGAACTCATTTAACTTCTGAACACTTGAGATGGAAAGACAGATGAGAGAGAGATGAGAAATCTGATAAGGGCCGGGTGCAGGCTAAATTTAACTAAAACATAAACCTGAGAGTTCAAATTAAAAACACAGATAAGAAACCGATTACATTATATCATGCCAATCACAATTATCTTTGTGCATGAATAGAAACGTTTGTGTATTATAGACTTGGAGGGTTATCTGCTTCATAGTGCAGACATCAGTGATGATATACAAAGCCCAGCAGTAGTGATTAATGTTTATAATCCCAAAAAGAAAACTGCAATTTATTGCAGCTTTCCAATCCTTAAATGTATTGGCTGCATTTTCTAAAAATGTATTTTCACCTGGTGATGTTGACAGTAACACACTTCCTGCCCTTTGGTGACAACGCTCACTTATCATACTATATCTATGGGGGACAGCATTGTCACCCTAGGATGAATATGATCTCAGTTATGTAGAAGTGAATTGCTGATAACATTATCTGAGATTTCAGTTCAGCAGGTCTTTTACCGAGTGCCCTGGATTTTCTACTGTGTGCCCCAGGTTTTCTACTGAGCATTCCAGGTTTTCTAACGAGAGCCCAAATCTTCTATTGAGAATCCCAAGTCTACTTCTACTCAGTGCCCCAGGTCTTCCACTAAGTGTTCTGGGTTTTCTACTGAGAGCCCAAATCTACGACTGTACCTCAGGTCTTTTACTGAGAACCCAAGTCTTCTACTGAGAGTCCTGTGTTTTCTACTGAGTACCCTAAATCTTCTACTGAGTGCTCTGGATCTTCTACTGAGAGCTCCTGATCTTCTACTGAGTGCTCTGGATCTTCTAGGGAGAGCCCCTGGTCTTCTACTGAATTTACGGGTTTTCTAGTAAATGGTCTGGATCTTCTACTGAGAGCCCCTGGTCTTCTACTGAACTTCCACGTTCTTTTACCCCATTTCTTATTTTCAGTACTTGTTGCTGTCACTCTGGTCCTCTGAATAAACATCAATCTTTGCTGAATTTGATTTGTAATTCTTATTTTTTATGAAATAATCATGTATTTAGTTTTTAATTTGAGTCATGTTGTACTAAATGAACTTATAGTTAGCACTGTTAAAGATCAAGCCATACTTTTTCTGTAAAATGGATTATGCTAGACCCAGATCTGATTCATTTTCCAAAATACCAATGAAGTATTCATTATTGCCATGTGGACTATTTAGGGAGCACATTATAAGTGGTGGAAGAAGTTGCATTAAAATGTTTTTTTTGCATTTTCCAATCCAGTCCTTGACTTGGCTTGAGATCAGATGTCTAATTGGCATGAGATCAAATGTCCAGAAAAAAAAGAAAGTGCTGAATGAAAGGGGCAATAGAGCAAAGCAAGGAAACACAGAAAAATGGAGAGACAAGGGATGATATAGAGAACAAGGAAAATCCTCAACCACTTCTTGCCACGATATGCCACATATACAACAATATTGGATTTTGGATAATTAAGTTCTCAAGCGTGCTCTGGGTCTTTTAGGAACCTGGCAAGTTCACTGATATCACCCCCAATATTCACATATAGAGAGACACATCACCCTAACCTGCACAAGGGAGGAGTTCAGCATCAGATTACTTAATAAAGCAGGACCTTTTTTAGGACATGCGCTCACCATGGAAGTATTTTATAATAATTTGTTATTACGACCATTTATTGACGTACCTGACCAGAGCTTTCACAGCAAACCTCACCACAGTGGAAAGCAGAAAGAGTGGTGTTACCAGGATGTGGAATAATGACAGCGATGCAAAGGCATTAGCGGGAGTAAGAGTTTTATTCTCTACGTATTCATGAGTCACAAATGTCTGGAGGGAAACACACACAGAGCGCATTATGAGTTACAAACAGAGCACACTGCTTGCAGCTACAGAGGTTAGTGACAGCTTGTTTTAAAGCTTATCTAATGCTTGCTAAGAAGATATAAATGAGAAGATATAAATACTTTAATGTCCATAGTCTAGTCACAGGTTAACTTAGGCAAGCCATAGATGATGCGATTTCTTTTTTTGCAACAGTAGTCAGTATTGATGGGAATGCTATTGTATTCTGCTGGCGGGAAGCCTTCCCTGCCAGCGGAACACAAAGATTACAGCAGTAATCACATGCAAAAATGCCAAAAGGCTGGTTGTAGTGAAGTCGATCGATGGATCAACTTCAGTACAACCAGCTTGCCCATAGCTGGATTGAATCTTGACCAGTCCATGCTGAACCGACCGAGTTTCAATCCATCTATGGTCAGCTTTAGACACTGATGTATGGGTGTGGCCACGCCTCTGCTTCCTATGTAATCTATTCTCTTCACTTGCTAATTTCTATTAATTGATTGATCTGCACAGTTTATGCTGCACAGGAACAAGCAATTAACAAAAGGAACATTGTAACTAAAATGTGATTTTATTAAACCTAAACTGAGACAGAAGGATGTATGAAGGATGAAAAAATGTTCTTACCGCCAGGACAGCTGCTATGGGCATGGCTGCATTCATAAAAACTGCCGAAATAAAACCATATAATAGTTAGAGAACACAGACAAACAGCAAAAATGGCAGTTACATCAGGCAATCTAAAAAAAGATTTCTACACTATCAAACATATCTAAAAATATTCCTCCAAACTGTTATCCAACAACTTTTCACACATCAAGGTCTTATTTATGTGGGCACTCTACATGTGTGTTTCTTGTGCGTTGTGTTTTAAGCACATTACGGATTATAATGCATTTTAGGATTTGTGCCAGGAGTCCTCAGACTTTTTAAATAAAGAGCCAATTCACTGTTCTTCAGACTTGAGTTGGGCCAAACTGTGGCCACTGGGAGTAGTAAATGACCTACTGCCTGTGGTCAGTTGAAGGAGGAATAGTGCCCCCATTGTTGGTGTTAGTGGAAGGACTAGTGTGCCATCATTGGTGTTGGTAGGACTAGTAAATTGGCCCACAGCATTGGTCTTCAATGGTCACTTATCTTTGTCTGTGCTTCACTAGTGTGTAGATATTGTCACAGCCAGAACCATAGCTCCCAACTTGCCCTGATTTCGAGGGACTGTCCCTCACTTGGAAAAAAGTCCCCCTGTCCCTCCTTCCTCCTCATTTGTCCCTCACTTTGGTCTGATCTACATAGCTGTACATAAAATGCACTATTTATCTATCAAAAGGTGGTAAACCTTTCATCAAATTTCTAGATTGCTGTATTGTAAATTTCAAAAGCCAATATAAAGTAGTAGTAGTTGTAAAAAAGCACTTGTGGGTTTAACCAATCATTTTTTTTTTTTGCATAATTCTCCTTTTAGGGGGGTGTGGTGGTGTGTGGGGGGGGGGGGCAGTGTCCTATAAATACATACTTTTGCTATTAGGTGTCCCTTGTTCCCATCTCAGAAACTTGGGAGGTATGCCAGAACTATACAGGCACATTCTGGCAGGAGATCAGTGCTGATCCAGTAAATTTCTAGGTTCTGGGACAGCACTTTGCATACAGGGGAATGGGTGTGTAAAGAGAAGGTTCTAAATGCAAGGTCTTTAGCCATAGGGTCGATTACAGACAATAAAAAGGCTACAACTGACTTGTGGGATGCAGTTTGTGGACCACTGCTCTGTGGTCTCAGCCATTTATAAGAGTGTAAAAAGGAAAGTTGTGTGAAAATTAAGTGAAGAAAATGGTGAAATGATGACAGAAGGCTGAAAATGAAACAAGGAGATTAAAATAAATAATTAATAATGATGCGACCTTGAACTAAATTCCTTCTCCAGCTATAATATATTCACTTTTTAGGGTGGTAAAAATTAGCAGCAAAGTGTTTGAAAAAAAAAATACTGAAATATATGAATGAATTAAGCATAAGTCAGATAGAGGATTTCCCGGAAATACAGAATTGTAACTTTTTTTGGCAATGCTCTGCTCTGCAGTTTCACACACACTCTCTATATCAGGGTTTCTCAGCTGGGATTTTGCTTAATCCTAGGGTTCTGGGAGAGGTCCCCAGGTGTTCCACCATGATTTACCCATCAGTTTCAGGCAGCTGACAGGTAGATCGCATCCCTTCTGCCGCATACAGTCAATTGGCTGTGACTTGCTGTCCAATTCCTTCTCCCCTCCTTTCCATCCCAGGTGCTTGTATGTGACATCACCTGGGATGGACAGGAGAGGAGGAGGGGCCGGCTGCTTCGCTGCCAATCTCTGCAAATGAAGGAAATCTCTGCTAATACCATGTGCCCCATCAGGGGCGGACTGACAACTCATGGGGCCCCCCAGGCAATAGGGGATCATGGGGACCCTGTGTCCTTGCCCAAACTCAAAAAAGCCTATGAAAAAGGTACTGGGGCATCTCATCAGGCCCCTTACTGACCCGGACCCTCGGGCAGTGCCCAAGTTTCCAAATGGTCAGTCCACCCCTGTGCCCCATGTACTGTGCCCTGCTGAGTGTCCCATGTACTGTGCCCTGCTAAGTGCCCCATGTACTGTGCCCTGGAGTGTGCCCCATGTACTGTGCCCTGCTGAGTGCCCCATGTGATGTGCCCTGCTGAGTGCCCCATGTACTGTGCCCAGGTGTGTGCCCCATGTGATGTGCCCTGCTGAGTGCCCCATGTACTGTGCCCAGGTGTGTGCCCCATGTGATGTGCCCTGCTGTGTGCCCCATGTAAAGTTCCCTGCTGTGTGCCCCATGTACTGTACCCTGATGTGTGTCCCATGTACTGTGCCCTGATGTGTGTTGTATGTAATATTCCCTGCTGTGTGCCCCATAATGTGCCCTGCTCCTTTGTAATGTGCCCTACTCACACATAAAGTGCCCTGCTCTCATGTAATTTGCCCTGCTACCACTTAATGTGCCCTGATTTCATATAAATTGCACTGCTGTTATGTAATGAGCCCTGCTCTCCCATAATGTGCCCTGCTCCAATGTAATGTGCCCCGCTTTCATGTAATGTGCTCTGCTCCAACATTACAGTATGTGCCCTGCTCCTATGTAATGTGCCCTGCTCCCATGTAATGTACCCTGCTCTCATGTAATGCACCCTGTTCCCATAAAATGTGCCCTGCTTCCACGTAATATGCCTGCACTTACATTATGTGCCCTGCTCCCACGTAATGTTCCCTGCTCTCCCATAATGTGCCGTGCTCTCCCCATAATGTGCCGTGCTCTCCCATAATGTGCCCTGCTCCAACATAATGTGCCCTGCTTCTACGTAATTTTTCCCCCTCTTTCATGTAATGTGCCCTGCTCCAACATAATGTGCCCTGCTTCTACGTAATTTTCCCCCTTTCATGTAATGTGCCCTGCTCTTATGTAATGTGCCCTTCTTCCACATAATATGCCTGCACTTACATTATGTGCCCTGCTCCCATGTAATGTGCCCTGCTCCCATGTAATGTGCCCTGCTCCCATGTAATATACCCTGCTCCCATGTAATGTGCCCTGCTCCCATGTAATATACCCTGCTCCCATGTAATATACCCTGCTCCCATGTAATGTGCCCTGCTCCCATGTAATATACCCTGCTCCCATGTAATGTGCCCTGCTCCCATGTAATATACCCTGCTCCAATGTAATGTGCCCTGCTCCCATGTACTATACCCTGCTCTCATGTAATGTACCCTGCTTCCATATAATGTGCCCTGTCCTTATGTAATATGCCCTGCTCCCATTTAATGTGCTCCGCTGCCCCCCCCCCCCCCCCATATAATGTGCCTGCTGTCTCCTAAGAAATGTTCCCAGCTGACCCAATGTAGTGCACCCCGCTAACCCCCATTTAGTGTGCCCTTCTGCCCCCATGCACTGAGCCCTCCTGATTCCCTGTACCCCACCCTGCTGCCCCCCTGTACACTGCTTATCTCAAGTAGGACCCAAAATTGAGCATCTGTGCAGGAAAAAGCAAACATAAGTTTCACATTAAATACGTAAGTTTTAATACTGATTCTATTATTTCATGCTATTTCTAAAAATAATTGTTGTTATATCAACACCAATGTTCCGTGAGCTGTAGATATGTACATTATTATCGTCTGGGATCTCAAAATTCTTGCCAGGGGTTCCTCCAAGGTAAAAAGGTTGAGAAACCCTGATCTGTATCATAGTTTGCTGTGTAGGAAGTGAACATAACATTGGTGGAGACGGAGCAGATCGTAGAAGCCTTATGTTTAATCATTGTATGTGTTATGAAGAGGGGATCACTCACTGGACAGGGACGTGTGCAGGGCAAATGTTCTTAGGCTGGTCAGTTCTTTCATCCGTGTCTCCTCCACACTTGAGCAAAAAATGTTCTCCCAGGCGTACAACTTCAGTAGCTTTATTCCTTTCAGGATCTCATTTGTCTTCTTTAGTCTTTCAGTAGAATAATCCTTCACAGGTGATACAAGGAATTGAATGAGAAATTAATACCTCAGTGCAGAGTGGTGGATAGATACAGTATGTCATATCCAGAGACATCAGATGAACAGTGCATGAATAACGCCATGTATGTTGGGTAGCAGAGACCTTAGCAGACACCCAATAACTAAATCAACTTTTTTTAAATAGAAGAAGACAAATTGTAATGAATATTTACCTGTGTATTTGTCCATTCTCTGGTGGCCATAAGTCATTTTATTGTGTGTGTTTTTGTCAGTGACTGTATATGAGTAGTCTAGTGAGAGATTTGAGTGTAAGCTCCTCTGCTGCAGAGGATGATGTGATTGTCTTAGTGTTCTCTGTATAGCACTGTGCAATATGTAAAAAATATATGGAAAAGTTTATAAAAGTATATTAATAATGACTGTGTGAGTGTAAGCTTCTCTGGTGCAGAAACTTGTTGACTAGTGCAATGTTCTCTGTACAGTGCTTTGGAATATGTTAGAGCTCTGTACAGTATATGACAGCGCTATTGTGCCATATATAAATGTATAATACTAATGTATCAGTGATTATCTAGTTTCTCTCCCAGACTTACCAGCGTATTCTTCTGGATTTCCGCTAGCTTGGTAGCAATGAAGTACTGTATCGGAGCAAGCAGAACAATGACAGCAGCCCCCACCCAGAGCGCTGACGCCCAGCAGCTTGTACAGGAGGATGACCCCCATTATGATCTATAAGAAAATGGTAAATGTATACAGTATGTGTACAGAGGACAATATTGTGCTATTTTCCACTGTGTTATGCAGAAGATGTAAAGAGACAGGGCTGGGATCGGATTGGTATTACGGCGGTGCCCTTACTTGTCGGCTGTACCTGCACAGGCATCGCCCAGAGATTGGGGCATAAAAAAAGGAACCACATCAGTTGGTTGGTCTCGATGGCCACCAGGTTGTTAATCTGTCCCAGGGTCATCTCGCCCATTGACATGTTGGAGGTGGACAGCTTCAGGATCTTGTTGTAGATCATGGCCTGGAACACATAGACAAAATGAATGAATTGTATGATGTAACTTGTTCATAATCAATCTGTAAGGTTTTCTGTTAATTACTACATTTTTATTGCCATTGCCCAGTGATCAAACTGAATTACCAGATCAGATGGAACATTTAGTTTTTTCCAATTGCATTGTACCATATTGTACTTCATGTGTTTTTTCTGTAATTTCTAATCATACCAGGCACGTGCCCTGGATGCCACATGGGGGGGGGGATTGGGGGGCACCATACCACTCAGCAGTAGAGAAGGTCAGGGCTACCGATAGGAGCCATCAGGCCACCGAGCCCCGTCACAGTAGGAGAGGGGCCTGGCATGGGATGTCTCTAAATAATCCCATGACAGCCTGTAATCAGTCAGGAACAGGAGAAGGCACTATGGAGGATGACTGCTTGTGAGGGAGAAGACTTCTGATGTACTTTGAAGAATGTGAGCTAAATTGAATGATTGAAATCACTGAAAGAACAGGCAGAAGGTAGAGAATGGTGGTATGGTAAGCATTGCTAGGGTAACTGTCCAGAACCTGGAGCTGGAGTCTTCATGGGTCAAGGCAGACTCTGTGATCCTGCTCTGCTGGGTGTAGAAAGAGAAGAAATTGATAAAACTCATGTAGAACTACCCCCTTAGGGGGTGCTGATGAATTTGGCCCCCTATAGTCCTGCACAGCCAGTCAGTTAGCATTTTTCACACAAGTTTCATCCATAGACATACATCAGGCCTTGAGCATTGGTTTTGTTATTGTATTGAGGGGATTAAACTTGGATGGGGTAAGGGGTGTATAGGATGCCCAAGGGAACCAAAATCTGAGGCCAACTTCCTGAACTATTCACATCTTCTCTTCTCTGATGCAGTCTCTATTAGAGTGCTAGCCAGCAGCTCCAGTTGTACTACCCCCAGACCCTAGATGAACTCCTCTTCACCCAGCAATCTGGAGGCATTCTTCCTGAGCAGGGGATCTGGCTCCTGTTCCTTTAAGAAAGGTGTACACTCACTAGCAGAGGGCTAATATGGTTTCCCACCAGAGTGTTCCTTCCCCTATATACCCAGGGGGTGCAGGTGTACTCACTCGGATCCTCTCCTGTACCACTCACGGAATGCCTGCTGCTACCAGGCCTATCAGCTGGGCTGCTCCTTCCCTGCCATTCAGGTGGTCCTCTCTCAGGAGACCAATGAGTCCTGAGATTTCCTCCTTTCCAGCTCCAGGCTTGGAGGCAGTCTCCATCCCACTAGGCCTCCTGGCGGCCCTCCACCACAACCTCACAACTTTCTCTCTCCTTCTTCCACCCAACTCTCCTGCTACTGAGTAGACTCCAACCCTTTTTAAGGGAGTCCATGCCCTTGCCAAGTCTCATGTTATGGATTGTCAGAGGCCCCTCAAAAGTGCAGCCAACCACTCCTCAGATCCATCCCCTGCCTCCAAGGTCCTCCTCCGAAAGCCTCAGAGCTGGGGGAAATTCAAGAGGGGCTGACCTGCAGTCTCTCAGTCCTGTCCAGAATTTGACCCCTCTGACTATCTCAATTGAGTTGCTACTCAGCTCCTAACTATGAGGGTCTAGTTCCCCCTAGCTAAACTAGGAAGGTGCTACACTCACATCAGACCAATTTGTATCACTGAAAGCAAGGAAGCTCTGGTTCACGTAGTGTCATAATTTGTCAATGAAAAGATTAATCAGTTTGACTTATATTTTTGAGCTGCAAATATGGCAAAGTTATGTAAATTATGGGCATCAGATATTTGAACAGGGAAAATTTTCAGTGCTTGCCATAGGCACTAATTTCTGTGGATACACCCCTGTGTCCATGTGTTGGGGGGGGGGGGGGTGTGAGGTAGTGGATTTATCCTTTCTGTCTTAGTATAGATCTATGTTTCTCCTAAGCATGTTTAAATTCAGTTACTTTTGACTACCTCTGCTGGAAGTATTTTCCAAATA